TTCGAACCCGCGACCCTCAGATTGCGAGTCGAGTGCCTTATCCACCTGGCCATGCCGGGCCCCGAATGAAGCGAATTTTGAAAAGAAAGATCTGGAAGAATGAACAGAGTTTAAAATACAACTGATATTAGTTGAAAGGCTACGTAGATTAACGTATGATTCTACATTTAAGTTTTATATTCTTCGATTTGTTTAAATTTGAAGTTATAAATTGTGTACATTAACCCAATACGTACAAGTCTTGATGATTTTCTCAATATGACGGACGCTGGCTTCACGAATCGGAAGCTATGCGCCATCTAGTGTTATAAGATAGCTATGGAAATTATTAGTTTAACCAATTATTTCGGGACCTTTTGCAAATATCAGACACAGTGGTAATTAATATTCATTAACTTGTATGTATTCTAGAGCAAAAGCTATTAAATAAAATTTTTTTCTTCCTTAAGAATTTTGTCCAATTGCTGTCTAAATGTCTATAAGGCAATCTTAAATGTCTATAAGGCAATCTTAAATGTCTATAAGGCAATCTTAAATGTCTATAAGGCAAATGAAACTTTTCAATTCTTTAACTATTATTCAACATTTTAAAAACTGTTTATTTACTAACTTCAGTTAAAAAGGGAATTCTTAATTTTATTACATGTACGATAAAATATGCAATTTTATACAATCCTGATTTTTGTTTAATATTTACTTACTTACAAAAAATAAAGTACCACTAATTATATTGTTCCCTCTTCCAATAAATAAATAAATATATCATACAATGAATAATATGTAGTACACGTGACGTGATCAAATTCCAAAACTGACGTCTTCTGGCAATCTTAAAAGAACGTACCTAGAAATTAGAAACTGATACACGATAAAGCGTTATTTGTTAGGCGCCAAATTACACAAAACTATGGAATGCCCAAGGGTTTACCGGCGTGAACATCCTCTTTAAGTCTTAGCGGAAAAAACAGAGACAAAGCCTAACTAACCTGGAACCCAGACGCAAATACCTTGAAGTGTGACAAATTTTCTGAAAAAAAAAAAAGTTTTCCGCCTCGCTGATTTTAACCCTCGAAATAATAACATGTAACACTAACCACGTGCTCTGGTAACCTTTTTGTTTTACCACATAAAGTCCATATGGACTAGTGGGTCAATCATTTTGGTGAACAATCTAGTTTTTATCTGATTTATGTTTCAAATAATGATGAAGAATCGCTATGTAGCGCAAGTCTTAAAAAAACACAAAACAACACACACACACCAGGGGATCATTACTAGTGTATTTATATGAAAAATAAAATAAAGTGACGATTACTGCACCGTATCTGATCAGTAATTTGTGGTCAGTTTTAAGCAAAATCAAACAACGAAAGGTAATTTGAATATTTAAGTTTTTTTTTCTTTAGAATATGGTGAATAAAACTGTGATTTTGTCTTGAGAATGTGTACAAAATCAAATATTTTAAACAAAAATCAGTAGCAGTAACCCAGTCACCTACTTTATTTAAACGATCCGTATCAATACGTTATAACAAAGAAGTGCAGAACACGGCGTCTATATAAAACTCAATCTGACTGCACTGGTAACTAATCCATGACAGAATGACGGTTAAACCAAAACGACGCGTTTTCTTTCCCTGCGACAAATAGCTAAAACGAACAAAATAATATTAAACCGAACTGTATTTTAAAAGTTAAAGCTGTTACAGCTGCACGGGAGGATGGAAAAAACAACACGTTTAAAGACGAAACATCCGTGCAACGTCATCCTAAACACTATAATGTGAAGCAAAACAGAAATATTCAGTTATAAGAAGATAAACGTACAAAATACTGTGACATTCGCCTAACCTAAACGTTACGATTTAAGCCTACACCATGGATACATATGAAGACGGCCATATTTCCACCCAAATTCATGACACACAAACACACCTATCGGGATATAGATTAACTAAAATTATGTCACTTACACTAAACTGAAAAAAAAAGATGATTCATGCTTATATTTTAATTGCTTGTTTCACTGACAAATTCAAAATTTTAGTTTCGGACACAATCAAATATGCAAGGCTTACCGAATGAGCATCCTGTATTAGGCCTAAGTTAATATTACTGTTCTCGCTGCTATTTAGATATCAAAAATAGATGAGAAACAATATCCAAATTAACGGAAGTTGATACAACGGACCGGAAGAGATTAAAGTTAATTACCGGAACCGGAAATGTGTCGGTAATCTGAAAGGTAGACGCTCGACATGATAGATGTACAAGAACGTTATAGTGAGAAAATACTTAAAGCCACAATAATGTTAGCACGACCGCTAGCATTTAAAATTAGGGCCATGAAGTTCCCTAACAGCTTAATTCTGTGTGAAATATTCGTTCATTCTAATATAGGAATGCAGGAATGAACAGGTCAACATTTCGATACCTGCATAGATTGTACTATAGG